TCCTTTCTGATTTTAGGTGCAGCTGTGGTGATAATTCTCAGGGGCACTGATAGCTGGCCAGCAGAAACACACACCATGTCTCTTAGCTTTTTGTAGCATTAAGTGTGCGGGCAGTTAATATCCCAAGAGTAAACCTTTAACTAAGGGATCTAGAAGGCATCATGTAAATACTCAGCCTCAGAGAGACAATTCTGAGATGCATTCTACACCTTACACAGGTCGCAGGCAGGACTGAGCCTCAGGTGCCTACAGTGGTAACACCTCAGCAACACTATTTACTAGCTCTCCCTCCTCTGTTCTACTCTCTCCACCTCCTCGTTCCAGCTTCTTAGCATCACTTCCTAATAAACTACCTGCATCCAAGCCTCAAGCTCTATTTTTGGGGAAATATAAATTAAGGCAGTGATATGGTTAGGCTTTGTGTCCCCATCCAAATCTCATCTTGAATTGTAGTCCCCATAATCCCCATGTGTCAAAGGAGAGACCAGGTGGAGGTAACGGAATCATGGCGGCAGTTTCCCCCATGCTGTTCTTATAATAGTGAGTGAGTTCTCAGGAGATCTGATGGTTTTATAAGGACTCTTCCCCTTTTGCTTGGCACTTTTCCTTCCTGCTACTTTGTGAAGAAGCTGCCTTGCTGCCCCTTCACCTTCCACCATGGTTGTAAGTTTCCTGTGGCCTCCCCAGTCACGCTGAACTGTGAGTCAATTAAACCCCTTTCCTTTATAAATTACCCAGTCTTGGGCAGTTCTTTATAGCAGTATGAAAACGGATTAATACAGGTAGGATCTAAAAATACTTTAGTTCATGGCATTTATTCACTCAAAAACATTTACTAAGTTATTATAATGGACCAGGCAGCGTATTAGATACTGGAAATATAGCGGTGAACAAGAGATCAAGTTCAATGGGGTGCAAAGATTAATAGGCAATACTTGAATAGTGTAGTGAGTATTACAACAAAGTAAACGTGGGTGCTATTAGTTGTGAAGTATGGCCAGGTTTAGGACCCCTTAATTTCCCCCTGCAAAAATTACACTTGCTAGATATTGAGAGGAAGTGAAGCACAGAGGACAAAGTCAAGCAAAAGCATCTGTAGCTCAGATTTAGTGTCCAACTCCTAGGCTTTAGTTTGGTATTGAGGTAAACCCATATATCATGCCCCAGTTCTCCCTTTCTCTGGGCCACATTCATTTGGCCTTGCTAGAGGCTTCCAAAGGAAGAAGCTCCATGTCGATCTTATTGTATGAAACCAGTGGTATTTCATAAAAGCCCGTGCCTGAAGAAAAGAACCATTCCCTATGCTCCCCCAAATCCCAAAAGAGAACACATTCTGCCTGCAAAGCCAAAACTTTATCCGTCATGACCCGAAAACTCTTACTCCTTTGTGCTGTAGCCTTAGACCCTTGACCAGGCCCCTCCACAATCCTCTTTGGTGCTATATTAAAGCGAGTAGACCTAAGTTCGATAAAGGTTAGAATGCAAAAGTCATAATTTTCCCACCTTCTTTTCCCTTTTCTTTTTTTTCTGTCATATCCCTAAGTTTTCTGCTTGAGGGACTTAGTGCCCTGGTATGTCTAATGAAAACTGTTCTGAGGCTTTGTTACCTAAAACTCACTGTTTTGAGTATAGGCTGCCAAATTGGTCCTGGTTCTGGCAAGCAGTTTCTTTGTATCTTTCCATCAGTGGGGAGCTTGGGCCCTGAATTCTGAATTAGGTCACTCATGCTCTCTGAGTTACAGCCAGCCTTTCTGCTAGGTTATTAACATGGCTAAGGACAGGGTTAAACTCCATCCAATTTTTAACACCTCATATCTGAGAACTGGTGCTATCAAGAATTTATATGCACTCCGATAGCTTTCTTAATGTTTCCCGTCTCAGCATGCAACTATTTACTTACTTTTCTCCTCTACCAGACCCTAAACTCTTTGAGGACAAAAATATGGTGCTATTTACTATTATATTTCCAGGGTCTAGTATAGCAGGTACTTAATGAATCTTAGTTGACTGAATGAAGTCCAGTATCAGGTAAGACTGAATTGCTAATGAAAGCAAACCTAATGAAAAACCAGCCACTCCCCCTCAAAAAAAATTCCAGCACATTTTTAGCTCATGTAACCACAAAGCCCAAGGCTCAAGTCATGTTATATTCTAAGGAGCTTGTCTTTTTCAATATTTTTGCTCTCCTCTCTGCTGTGTTTGGCTTCATTCTTAGGTAGGCCTTCTTTAGATGGAGTGCCCTGGTATACCAAATGCAATTGCTAATTCTGGTTGGGCCCGATTGTCTTGGTTTGATTCATGTGCCTATCCCTAAATCAGTCACAGAAGCCAGAGGAGGGTGCTGCTTTGCTTGGTCAGGCCTAGGTCAAAAGACTCTTGAAACTGAGGGTGGTGGAGTGAGCTCCCCAAAAGTATAGAGGATTGACGTGTGTGTGTGTGTAGGGGGTGGTATAGGCAGCATGGATGCTAGGCAGCTGAAGCAATTCCACTTTCACTCCCATTGCTGCATTCCATATCTTTTCCTGATATTGAAACCCTGTGGGGCAGGGATACCAGCCCACATGACTTGGTCTGTGACCACCAGCTCTTCCCCAGAGGTGGGGGTCACTCTTCCTGCTTAGAGTGGTCCCCAGACTCTGCATTACCCTGCTTACAGCGTGGTCCTGCTTGTCCTCTTCCCACTCTAAATGTTTCCAGTAAGCTGCACAGTACATGCAAAGTCCTTTCAGACACTTTGGCAACGAGTGAGTCATGTATACAAAGAACTATTCAAAGCAAAATGTGGCCAGTTCTCTAACAGAGTAGTGAAAAGATGTTTGGAGAGCAGAGATAAAGGCATGCAACATCTGGCTGGGAGTATGAGAGCAGACAACCAATTCAGGGACTATCAAACACCCAGGACAAGCTTAAGTATAGGATGAATAATGACAGTAACAGTGATAATAATAACAACAGCTGACACATACAGTACTTACCATGAGCCAGGCCCTGTTCTAAGAACTTTATATTAATCAATTCAATAAATCTTCATAACACCCTTTCAAGTAGATATAATTATTTTCCTCCTTTTAGAGACGAGGTTAAGTAACTTGCCTAAGGTTACAGAGTTAAGAAAGTGGCAAAATAAGTCTGGGTTCCTATCACAGGGGATCTTAAAAGCCAGGTACAGTGATAGCCTTGACTTACAGTCTGTGAGTTCCTGGTTCATCTTTCCCAATGGACTCAAACATTCTGAGAGCAGGTCTGTGTCTAGTTCACCTTTGTGTTTTTTAGAACACCTAGGTGGGCTCTATACTTAGGTAGAAGCCAAATATCTGTCCTCTTTGAACAGACTATCTTTTCTCTTAGTAAACACGCATCTGAAAACAGTGTGTTACTGGAGGGCGCCCTGGCAAGAGCCTGTGGTACTAGCTACTCCTCCAAAGACTGAGGCAAGAGGATTGCTTGAGCCTAGGAGTTTTAGGCTGCAGTACCCTTTGCATTCCATGCTTGAGCAACACACAGGGATTCTGTCTCAAATAAATAAATAAATAAGTGCAATGTGTTACTGGAATGAGCATTGTTACATACATACACAGTCTTCCACAGAAGCCACAGTACTAGACAGGAAGTTATGGATCTGACTAATTGAGGCTTTCACCTCTGACTCAGTGTGTGACTCTGGCAAGTGACCTAATGGCTCCAAGCTACAGATTTTCCAACGGTAAAAGAGAGGAAAACAGGTATCCAACATATTCCACCAGGACATACTGAGAATAACAACAATAAATAAATACACATATTAAGTTCTTGAAATACTTGAGGAAAGGTACTACAAGAAACCAAATTTCAGTAATCAACAGATATGCATTAGGTGCCAAATATTCTGGACATTATGGGATTACAACAGAACAGATGAAAACAGACCTCTGCTAGTCTCTATTTTATAGGCTATTATGGACAAGGTCAGTTTCAGTGGTCAACACAGAGATTATTTAACAACATCAAAAAGGGGGTGAACGTTAGAGCTCACCTGGATTTTTTATATATCTATAAATATACATTATATGTATTTATATTTATACACATATATTTATTTATGTATTTATTTTATTTATATATTTCATTTCATTTATTTTAATATATATTTTAAGTTATACATATTTTATAAATATACATAAATAA